TATGTCCTTTGTCTTCATAATGGAGACCCTTTTCCTGGAGTGCTTTTAATGTATTTCAATATCCAAATCACGACATCCCAACAGCCTTGGCAAGGAGAGTTCAAGGATGGATTGTTCATGTTGGATTTCATTTTAAAACCAATTAGGATTAAGTTGTTCAAAAAATATAAAAAGCAAGTGATGTGGGAATTCTCAACACCCCTTTCACATATACCTTCCAAAATAGGTGATTTACCAAGATGAGTTGTATGTTTTGATACCATTCGAATAACATCTCAAATTGTTTAGGAAATATAGAAGCCAAATCCCAAGAATTGAGGAAAAATTTGTGGAAATTCCTAACACCCCCTCCTCCAAATATCTCTGCTAGAGTAAATGAGCCTACTAGAATAGACTATGTACCAAGATGAGCTATGATCTCTCCTATCATGTCAGATTTCATTTAACCACCAAATGACATCAAACGAAGTTGTTCAAAATATGATCTGCATCCCAAGAATTTAGACAAACGATTGGGACTTCCCAACCAATGTAGTCAAAATCACAAGTATACTTGCAAACTCATAAGATCTTGCAAGTAGAGGAGATCCATACGTGCAAACACAAGACGCAGATTGGGAGAGTTGAGGATCAATATTTTACTTGCAAAATCGACAGATAGTTCTTCATGTCTAAAAATTGCCTTATCTTTTTAATTTTTTTTAAATTTTTTTATTTTATAGCTATAGTATACCTTTTAATATAGCAAAGAGTGAAGAGTTCAAGACACTGTTTGACTTGGTTGCCTAACATCGTTAGAGATTGGAAGAACATAGATGCTTGAAGAAAACTAGAGGCACAATAATGAACCTAGGATATGCATGGTTTGCCAAACAAATTTTCTCTGGGAAACTTGGTCCAACGAGCAGGCACAGTTCTCAAGATTCTTCTGTTAGTCTCTCTGTTAGGCTATTTGATATAGCATGTTAAAATAGGGGACACAGACTTTGGACCGAATACCTTGCCTATGAATACACAACGTATGACTTTATATAGAACATTACATTTATTATGCATGGACAAATTATATTTTGTTTGCTCTGAAATAAAGATTACATAAGTATGATAATAAACAAAATATATTACTCGGATTCTCAACAATGATAAACTCGTCCTTGTTCTTTTAGTTATATTTATTTTAATGGATGGATTATTTCTATGCTCACTCTCCGTAATCAATGTCTAACTTTCTGATTCAGTGTGGGCTTAAAATGTGTTTCAGTTTTTTCATTTCAACCAAATTGTATCCCTTGCTGTTTTTGTTTGATATTTTCTTTACTAAGTGATTAGTAGCACCTACGTTACTTTTGTTTTTGGTATATGTGGACTGTAACTATTTGACAAATTCGACTTTTCAATCAATGAAATCCCAAGCCTTTGATTGCCTAAGTACAGAACCGGATGCAAGTATGGGATACTCTGAATTTTTTTGCAGTGTCTGTTATTGATGTAGATTTTGGATTCTCCTTTCCAGAACAGTATGAAAGGCAGTACAGGGACAGGGACCCTGGACCAATTTCAAATGATAACAACAGAAGTTCTCTTGTTCCTCCACAACCACAAGCTTATCGTCCAAGTGCACATGATCAAGGCTCCGAAACATTTAAATCAGCTAACCCTCCACAGAATGTTGTTGGGCCGTCATTGACAAGCAAGGATTCATTGCTTTTAAAGCATAATCGTCCTGCTCATAGAGATACAGAGACCCGATTAATGATTTCTAGCAAACCATCTAGAGAGTTTTCTGTAGATATGGAGGATCTGGACATCCCATGGACTGATCTTGTTTTGAAAGGGAGAATAGGGTCAGGTATGTATGCTCTTCCATAACTTGCATATTAGTTAAAGTCTTGCTTATTTTTGGTTGATTCAGATGGGATGAGGTAGGTGTGTAGAAGAGAAACATTGAGGGATGGAACATGGCATAGTCAAGGTAAAAAAAAGTAATATAAGGTAGTGGTAATGCGAATGAAAATAGAAAAGAAGAAAAAAAAGTGTGCTTAACAATGCAATAATGCTCTTCAATCCCTCTGCATATCTGACTGGGAGAGCATCTGTCGAAAGAAGTCATGGTTCAGTGTATCAAATAAAGGTCATTTAAGTCACTTCAAGTATCTCAATGCATAACAGCTGTAGGATAATAACCGACGAGGGAGTGTCCTTACCTTAGTAGTGAAAAGAGGAATATAAGAAACAGTAAACTAATTAATGCAATAAAACACTCCAATCCCTCTTATCTAAGGCAGGTTCTATAACAAAGGTCATGGTTCAGAAAACTATCCTATCACATAACTGCAGTAGGATAACAATGGACCTCTAACATATATATATAAGAGAAGAAAAAAGGAAAATGGACTTAGAGGTGTTGACCAGGGAAAACTATAATTGTTCATGAAAGAAGTAGGAATGCTTCTATGAGTAAAGAGGAAACATTGGTGGGACAGTGTAATAAAATGAACACAGGACCGGACAACAAAGTATTGTAGAGAAGCAAGAATTTTCGATCCTTCCTGTTCATAAATACCAGGATATATGGTCCTTCTTGAGAGAATGACAGGAAAGAAGAAAGATATAATTAATGGGTTATTTCAAATCATGGTGAACCTTCTCTCGGGTCTTTCTATCAGAACCTTATGTTCTTTAATGCCCCCTTTTGGTGCATTTATTAGGGAGCTCTTTGGGCCCACTGCTTTCTCTAGCAATAAAAATTAGAGCACACTATTCTATATAGAATTTTATATGTTCTGAATGAATTGTGTGTCTAATGTAGACCACACAACATGTATTTATAACATAATACATAATCAATTATAATAAATACACCTAATAATTAGGAATCAATCATTCTAATTTTTCAGATTATGTAACGCCTAATTTCTTGGAAATATGTAACAACTGATTTAATTCTAACACTCCTCTGGAACATATAATGTCATATATACAAAGCTTGTTACAAATGTATTCAATCCGAGGGCCTCTAAGGGACTTGGTGAACATGGTAGAAATAACTCTAAGGGACTTACATTGTTAGAGTTGACAAAATCAGGAGTTATTTCTCCATAGAGCACCTTTTCTCTAAAAAAGTGACAATCAATTTCAATGTGTGTGGTTCTTTCATGGAAAACTGGGTTTAATGCAATGTGAAGTGCAATTTGATTGTCACAAATAAGCCTTGCTTCATGGATGTCTCCAATTTTTAGTTGTAGAAGTACTTGCCTAAGCCACGAAAGCTAACAAGTGGCTGCTGCCATGGCTAGAAAGAGACAAACAGAAGTTATTTCTGCCACAGCGGAACATAAGTTACCAGACTGACAACGGCAACGACATGTTGTGTAGGTTGCATGGTTGCCTTGTATGGGAGGCACTCATTATAGGCATCAACAGGATTGGAAATCTCATATGATTGTTTTGGAGAATTGACCTGAGCAATATTAGCGGTCTTATGTTGTTGTCGTGTCTTTGTACGACATTTTGCCTCAGTGTGGCCATATCGTTGACAAAAATTACAATGAGGGTGTTGACCACGATATCCACCACAATTCCCACTTCGTCCACCTCGAGAGGAAGATTGGGAATAAAAAACAGAGGAATTGGTGGTGATTGACCAAACCTGTGAGGAATAAAGAGGCGAAGTAATTGTTCACTAGCACGTGATTAATACCAGTTACTATCAGATAACAATGTATCTAAGAAAATATGAGCATTGTTCCACAATCAAATACACCATAGAGCAGCAAAAGTTATCACATCACCACACAATTTTGTAGTGATGCTACAAAATGCTCTAAAGTTAACCAATTAAAATTTAGCCTGTGTTAAGTACGAAGAATTTAATGAATTAGTAGCATTACATGCTTCTTGTAGCTTGAAGTGAAATTGATATCAATAGTATGATAGAATATAATGTGTATGATAGGAGAAAACATATTAAGAAGTAGTTGTGAGTTAGGTTGTTAGGGTGAGTGAGGTTTCTTTTATATATTTTTGGATAATTTTGTTGATTGAGCTTTAGCTTTTTGTGAAGGAGAGACCCTTGGAAGAGAGAGTGCTCTTCTATTTTGTGTTCTTTTCAGTTTATACAATAAAAAATATTACTCTTCTTTCTCTTTTCAATTCTGGATTCCTAACAAAGTGACTAATTAAATTTGGTCTGTAATATTTTAAGGTTCTTTTGGAACTGTACATCAAGCTGAGTGGAATGGCTCGGTAAGTCCCTCTCTTCTTTTTTTCTTTCATAAGTGCTCTATAAAATAAGATTAACCCAGGCTTACTGTTTTTTCATGGGTTGTTTATATTTTTTGTTTTTCAGCATCTCTGTCATTGTATCTTGCAAATTCAACTAAACGTGTAATTAGTATATTGATATGTGAATGGCATCTCTCTCTATATCTGTACAATAGTCAAACTCTATACAATATCTGGCATTTTTTTGTAAGCATTCATTGCTTATTGATTATATGCACATGAAGGTATAATAAAGTCATTAAGTGCATTTTTTTAAAATGCCATGCTTTGTTTTCTGGATCTAATGATTGTCTATTGATCTTGTTATATATATGCTTGTAAATTAAAGTAAGTCTTCTTATTGTTCAAAGGTTGCTGTGCCTGATCAGCTGAACTCATTCGACCTGTGTTGTTTTGTATTTTGCCTCCCATTTTCCAATCTTCTTACGACTACATCCAAACATTTTTGCATATATTTTCATATTGAGCTGTGCTGTAAAAATTACCGGGCACAGGGCTTATTTTAAAAACTTAATTCGCTAAGTTGCAACTTGCAGCATCGAAACATTGTTTCATTTATGGGCGCAGTCAACTTATCAGCACTAAAGGTTTCATTCATTTACTATTTCATTTTCAATAAATAGATGAAGCATTAGGGAAGATGGCATATTTTATTAATGCTCTTTTTATGCTTTCAACTAGAAGGCTTCTGTCCTTGTACTTTTGCTGTCTTTGCAAAAAATAAAATAAAAATTCAACTTTATTAGTTTCATGATTTAGAATGCATATTTATTTATTTTTAATTTGGGAGGTGTACATGCTTGTGTATTGCTCCATTAAAGTTTGAAGCCAAAGTGAGTTTAATATTTAAATTTGTTTAATGTATCCTTTTTTCCATCCCTCTACTTGTTTGTTGCATATGTTATTTTAGTTTGTTGCATTTACATCTGTCAAAATGATAAGTACCGCAGGAGGTTGCTGTGAAAATTTTGATGGAACAAGACTTTGCAGGTGAACGCTTCCAGGAATTCTTGAGGGAGGTAGGCCCAGTAGTTCTTGTCTTCTTTTGCATTGAAAAATACTAATTGTAAGCTTGCTGCTGATTTGAGCTATATTTTCACCCCTTTTGCTAGGTTGCAATAATGAAAAGCTTACGGCATCCAAACATTGTTTTACTTATGGGTGCAGTCACTAAGCCTCCCAATTTATCAATTGTCACAGAATACTTGTCCAGGTTTTGCAATATCTCATCTACCAGTTTCTTTACTCTTCCCTCATATAAGAGGAACCTCTTTTCATGTTTATAACATATGTTACAATTGAGACCTGAAGAATTTGAGTGAACTAAATGCAGGGGTAGCTTGTACAGGCTGTTGCATAAACCTGGTGCCACAGAAATGTTGGATGAGAGACGTAGGATAAGTATGGCTTATGATGTGGTAAACTTTCAGAACAAATATATTATTATTTTTGGTTCTGTTTATTTTTTGAGCTAATATGTAACCTTTGTATACATTGGTTAAGTATTTGTTGTTTTCCCGTGCAGGCTAAGGGGATGAATTATCTTCATAAACGTAATCCTCCCATTGTTCACAGAGATCTGAAATCTCCAAACCTTCTTGTTGACAAGAAATATACAGTGAAGGCAAGAAGGAAATTGTTTTATGTCTGAAAAATTGTGTAGAGTTTCATTTAACCCATTAGCGACCTTTGTTAGTATGATTCGACTTCTCCAACATGCATTCCATTCTACAATCAGAAGGCTATATTGAATCCCCAAATTTCATATCATTTTGTGTATGCTAGCGTTAAAGTACTGATATAGTCCATGCTGAATGACACTGTTTAACCACCATCTCTTTTGAACTTTTAGTGAATCTATGAAAGAAATATTACAGCAAAACTTGGTCTACATACTGTTGACAAAAGTTTTACATTCTGCCAATTAGCTGGGCTTCATTTGACTCAAATTTCACATATTGACAAAAAAATCAATTTAATACGTTCAGTGCGTAGCAAAATTTATTTTCTGGAGGTTTAGTTGTTTATGGTCTGTTTTGCTTTGGCATTATGGGCATTATTGTAGTGATTTGAATTTTCACAGATCCTTGTTTACTTGTGTTGTCCCTTTAGGTTAGTGATTTTGGGCTTTCCCGACTAAAGGCAAACACATTTCTCTCATCCAAGTCAGCTGCTGGGACAGTAAGTTTACTTTCAAAACCTGTGTATGTGCTTATCATATTTTTCAGAGGTCTATTTTATTATTGCACATTAAGTTGAACACCCTTTTATCTATTAGCCTGAGTGGATGGCTCCAGAAGTTCTTCGTGATGAGCCATCCAATGAGAAGTCAGATGTTTACAGCTTTGGTGTCATCTTGTGGGAGCTTGCAACATTGCAACAGCCTTGGAGTAATTTGAATCCACCACAGGTTTGTCATATAACTGATCTATTTCAGTGTGCTTATGGTTAGATTTCTTATTATGATTATGTTGCTTTGATTTTTATTGAAGCGTCTTTAATGACTGTAAGTGCGTCACATAAAAGAAATAGAATGCTATTGGTAATTGAAATCTGAAAATGATTGCAAGAAAGATATAATTCTGTTTGATGGCGGCCTGTTATCAACATATAATTCTACTGAGACTGAAATTTGCATCAATATTTCTTTCTATCTATTTTTACTTTTGGTCTGTAGCTTTTAGTAATGTTTTTGATGCAGAGCTTTTGAATTACGTAGTCATCATAAGCCTGTAATGTTTTGTAGGTTGTGGCAGCTGTTGGCTTTAAGGGAAAAAGACTTGAAATACCACGAGATTTAAATCCTCAAATAGCATCAATAATTGAGGCTTGCTGGGCCAAGTGAGTTGCAGATACATCTTTCGTTTGTAGTGTGGTTGTATATTCTGCTTGAGTTTTACTCTTATGCCTGGTTTACAAACTGCAGCGAACCCTGGAAACGCCCTTCTTTTTCAAGTATTATGGATTCTTTGAAAGGATTGATCAAACCCCCTGTACCTCAACCTGGTCGTCCAAACATGTCGTTGCTCATTTGAATGGTTGGAATGATAGTTATTATTCATGCGCACAGGATTTTGTTAGTTTTGATGTCTATCACGAATACACTATTTCAATAGTCCCAGGTGCGTACCAAATTCCTTAAAATTTTGCTTGGACGTAGTAATTTGTGTTTTCCGGTAATGCAAATATTATCAATTTTCAAGTGGGGAGTGGGGGCATTATTTTCTAGATATTTTTGTTATTATGAATCTACTATCTTAAAAGCTAAAATTATTAGTTGGTCTTGTACATGACTATTTACTACTTCTATAGCATCGCCAACCCGCCTCACTTGAGCTCGTTGGACTATAAGAGTAAACAATGCATAGATCCATTGTTGGAAATTTGAGGGTCTGAAAATACTAGGGAGATCATGAACAATGGGTCACGAGCTAATAGACGAGAAATTGATCCAACTTTAACCCAAATACTTAAGGTATTAGGTTTGTTTATTGGTCTTTCTCAGTTATATGGTGTTCAATTTTCACATTTTTATATAGTGGGATTCTAACTCAATCGAATACCAACAATCTCCCCCTCAAGTGAGTCTTTTCGAAATTGTAAGTTCCTCTTTTGATAACCTTATTTATCCTTGAGTACTCAATAGTGACTATATTTGCACTACCATTCACCTTAGCATGACGCACTATTTGAACCCTTGTTAGAAAGACTTTTGATAGATTCATTTATGCATTGTACTAAGTTGGTCACTAAGATTAACCATCTTTGATACAACTTGTTAGGGGATCTGAAGGGGAGCAACACCTAAGAGATCTTCACCAATGGCTCTTAAGCCAACCACATAAGAGAACATGAAATCACATTAAACCATAAACCTCAACTTTAACTCACACTTAAACACTAATAATCTCCTCTTTAAGTTTGATCTTTAAGTTTGATTTGTACTACATTGGAAGCTTTCTTGTGTAATCCATCATCTTTCCCTAATGGTCTAACAATATGACCTTTTCTACCCAATCTTACATTAAACCATAAACCTCAACTTTAACTCACACTTAAACACTAATAATCTCCTCTTTAAGTTTGATTTGTACTACATTGGAAGCTTTCTTGTGTAATCCATCATCTTTCCCTAATGGTCTAACAATATGACCTTTTCTACCCAATCTTACAATAACTCATGGTGTGCATGTTGCTATGGACCTCTCATGCCAAAAACCCTTGACCAAAAGAGACCTAACACTCACTCTGCTTGGATGTTCTTTGATACAATTCTTGTAGACTTGTATGACTATGTTGGAGAAAAACTTCAAATGCACAATACTACTCTGTCAAAAGGTGATACCTCTAATAGTTCCAAAAGTTTAGGTGGAGGTTCTAAGGAAGGACATCTCAAATGCCTAAAGAGTTCACACTACATCCAAAAGTCTTTGGAGACTCTTTCCTAGACTAGATGCCTAGGGACATAGCCTCAAATTGATCAAATGATACATAGGCTTAGAGCAATGGGGATGACACTCACTTAGAAAAACAACGAAGAAACTAAGGGTTAGGTCTCTTCAACTCAGTTTTAAAGCAAAATAGGGTTGTGAATTCTTCTAATATATATGTTCAACTTGTCCATTTCTACACAATGTGAACCTTCAACAATCTCCTTAAGTGAGTTCTTTCCACATTGTACACTTCCCCTAAAGAAAAGCATTCTTCTTATCCATAAGTACTCAATGGTGATATTTACTTGTATTGTCATTCACCTCAATGAGACAATTTGTGTAAACCCTATGTCAGGAACACTCTCAATACAAGGGTGATCCATCATCAATTCCATTATACACATTTAAGCTAGTCACCAACATTCAACATCCACCCTGGTACTACTTGGGCAATTTGAGGGGGATAAACATAAGAAAAATCTCCACCAATGGGTCAAGAGAAAACAACACCAGAGTACTTGACCTCATCTACAACTCAAAACCTTAAGAGACTAGGTTTGTGAGTTTTTCTCACTTATTTGTTGTTGAACTTTCTCATTCGTATACAATGTTGGAGTTCAAGTTACGCCTGAATTCCCATACCCATTTTAACCTAGTGTTTGAATTTGGTCGTTTTTTTTAAAAAAATGGAGCTGAGAAGGATTTAACTTTATAGGATTTGATCATAGAAGTTTAATACCATATCATGACATTTTCTACAACACCTTTTAACAATTATTCATAAATGCAAATTGTTGACTCCAAGGTTTTGCAAAAGAAACATGTCATTATAAATTCACTAGAATGACTCCTTGTTATCACCCAAATATGCTTTTCTAGCCTTTCTTTAATGCTTCTCCTACCTCACCAATGGAAACCTTGACAAATTACCTTAAGTGCCCATTCCTTGTCTTAATTGTCCAAGTATTCTCCCTGTCAAATGTGAACAACTTGGCACATAATTCTTGTTGAGGGCCTTCACATGTTTGGCTTCCTAAAACATAACTGGAAGGGAAAAATAAGCATTGTCTAGGCAAAGAAAGGCAAGTGACGCTAACCTTGGGTTTTGGATATGGAATTTCACAATTTGTAAGACATTTAAACACATTAAACTTGAATGATCTCATTTCAAATTGTTTTGTTTGGATAAGACAATTTAAATTCATTGAAATTTAATTTTCTAGCTTGGATAAAATATTTCAATTGTTACTAAATGCAAAACAAATATTTAAATATCAAACAATTATTAATAATTCAAAAATATCAATATTGATAATATTTTTAGTTAATCTTGGTTTGTGTTATTTTTTGAGTAAAGTTCGTCTAGATTTTAACTGACATTGGTTCAGATTTTTTTCAGTTTATGTCAACCACAATTGTTTAGATTGTCATTAATCAGGATTATTTTTGTCATGTTCGTTGTTGTTTTTTTTTTCTGACTTAGCGATATTGGTTGAAAAATTTCCCCAAATGACGATGGGAAAAAAATCCATCAAGTATTAGAAAAAAATCCTAACACTATTGACAAAGAATACATTGATGTCAATGATAAAAGAAATAATCACTACAAATATTAACAAAAAAAAATTATCACAACAGATATCAATTGAAAACTCTCGCTGATATTAAGCGAGTAGCCATTGTAGTCCAGGAAAATCATAATTAATGTTGACCATGGATAATCCCCACCTACATTGTCTAGAAAAAATAAAACTCTAATCGATGTCATTGAAAACAAACCCCTACTTACGTCAACAACAAATTACTTTAGTTAGTATAAATTAAAAAAAGTGTTTGACATTAATAAAAATCATTATTAATATTGACTGAGAAATAACTTCAGACTAAGATCAACAAGAAAATTACCCAAATGATGTTAGTTCAAAAAATAAACACAATTGATTTTAATTTGAAAGAAACTTATGTAAACATGTATTCAAAAATAATGTTGAAATGATGACACACAAACCTTAGCTAAACGAAAAGTGTTTGTCTGAGTCAAAACGATAGATTTAGTTGATTAGAGAATTCAAAGAGAATAGACATGAATTTAAGAGTATGAAAGTTAACTACTACAAAAAAAAAATCATAGATATCAATTTTTTTTTATCATAGATAGCGTTTTTTAAGCGCTATCTATACATGAACTATCTATTAATAGATAACGTTTTTTAAATAAGTGTTATTTATTGGGGGCGGACAATAGATAACACCTTTTTAAATAAGCGTCATTTATTGTCTAAATCTTTTTTTAAAAAAAATAGAATAAAATATTTCAAAAATATAAAATAATTTTTGAAAAGAAAATATAGAATATTGGTTTTATTATATACATACCCACACTATTTATTGGTTCTATTACATAAAAAAAATATAAAATATTGAAAAAAATATGACAAAGGTCTTAAAGAGAATGTTCAATAATATGAATAAAAACTATTGGTACAATAATATTTTAAAATTTAATCGTTACGTCGTCTAGTACGTGTTATGATATGACATTGCTTTATAAGATAATATATACAACCATAATATATATATATATATTCTATCAGTACTTATAAGCATGTACATCACCATAACATAACCTATAAGCATGTACTAATTACACAGAAACACCAATTTTTTCTAACTTCAATTATTTGACTTTCACGATATTGTTGACATCTACAACTAGAAAAATACTACAAGAAAGAAAAATAATATAAAATTAGTTAATTAAATTTTACTAAAAATTAATTATGACAATAAAGATAACTTACCTTAGTTGGAATTGTTCCTCTTTCACATTATGTGATAATTTCTTTCATTTACACACGTAATACCACAAAATTAATAAAACATCTTTATAATTTGAACATATAAGCAAACCACTAGTATACTTCAAACAAATTTAGTGCATGATAACAAATAATTATATATCATATACAAGTTTAAACTCTTAATAGTAAGTCATGCTTTCATTACAACCGTATATTCTTGCAACCAGTTTCACAATAATACAAGTTATTTAACTAACCAATACCATGCAACAAGGAAAAAAGTCTTCAATCATTCACGAATATAAGTTATTTACCTAACCAGTGAAATGCAAGCAGTCATAACTTGAACTAAAAGTCACATAAGGTCATTCAACAATTCAATTATCACAGTCAAAACTATATTGCACAAAATATACTAGAGTAATGTACCTTAATTGTTGTCCACTTCATATTGTTTGACTTACAATTTGAAATCATGAATCTTGTTTGAGCTCTATATGTTTGTATAACCCTGGTGAATAAATAAAATTAAAGCATGTATAATTAAAAATAATACAACTAAAAGTATATATATATATATATATATATATATATATATATATATGTCAACTAAAGTATACAACACATATATTTTTACATGTCAAACAATTTTTTCAAATCTTGCCTCGTACTAATGTCTACCACCACTAAGTCAAGATATTGAATTATCTCTAGTTTAAGATTGATTACCAGCAAGACCAATGTTGGCTATAATTTGAAATTAATCAACAAAATTAGAAGTTGTCTAACTTTCAAAATAATATGTTGATAAAGTTGTAAAGTAATGTATTCTCCTGTATTAATAGGTGTAAGAACAAACTTATCAATCATCCCATTATCAAGAAAAAAAGTAACTATTTTTTGCATTTTGTCTTTCATTGATAGCTCATGTGTTGTGATTTGGGGTGATAAAAAAAGAACACCTTATCATTTAGCTTAACAAAATTTTGATATAAGTACCTTATAATAGAAAAAATATAAGAATGTATTAGCAATGTGATAAGGTGTCAATTTACAAATGAAGTTAATGATAAAAAGTACTATATGTTGTACCAAATATATATATAGAAATTGTAGTTGCACCTACTCATGCATAGTTAGTAACTTCTTTAATAATTTATGCATTAACGATTTCTTTATGATTATCTAGTCCAAATATGTTTTTGTCCATTTGTTTTGAACGAAATGACTCTGATGCCTTTAGTTTTATGTATGAAGATAGACAATTGCACCATTTAAGAAGATTGGGATGAAACAATTTACGAGGAATATGTTGAATGACCATTTTCCTTTGACATTTCTTTTTAGGTGCAACACATTCATTTGCATTATTCATCTTTTTCTTTTTAGGTTGAGTAGAATTTTAAAACATATTTCACTGCGAAAATTTGATGATGTTTTAGGATTCTACTTAATCTAAAAAGAAAAGAGATTAATAATACAAATGAATGTGTCGCACTTAAAAAGAAATGTCAAGAGAAAATGACCATTCAACATACTCCTCGTAAATTGTTTCATCCCAATCTTTTTGAATGCTGCAATTGTCTATCTTCATACATAAAGCTAAAGGCATCAGAGTCACTTCGTTCAAAACAAATGGATAAAAACATATTTGGACTAGATAATCATAAAGAAATCGTTAATGCAGAAATTATTGAAGAAGTTACTAACTATGCATGACTAGGTGCAACTACAATTTCTATATATATATATCTGATACAATATATAGTACCTTTTATCATTAACTTCATTCGTAGATTGACACATTATCACATTTCTAATACATTCTTATATTTTTCTATTATAAGGTACTTATATCAAAATTTTGTTAAGCTAAATGATAAGGCGTTCTTTTTTATCACAACACATGAGCTACTAATGAAATACAAAATGCAAAAAATAATTACTCTTTTACTTGATAATGGAGTGATTGATAAGTTTGTTCTTACCCCTATTAATACATGATAATATCTTACTTTATCAACAATGTATTAATTTCAAAGTTAGATGTACGACTTCTAATTTTGTTGATTCATTTCAAATTGTAGCCAACATTAGGTCTTGTTGGGAATAAATCTTAAACGAGAGATAATTCATTATCTTGACCCAGTGGCGATAGACATTAGTATAAGGTAAGATTTGAAGAAGTTGTTTGACATGTAAGAATATACGTGTTGTATACTTTTAGTTAACATAACTGTATCATTTTTAATTATACATGTTTTAATTTAATTATTCACTAAGGTTATACAAACCTATCGAGCTCAAACAAGATTCATGGTTTCAAAGTCTAAGTCAAACAATATCAAGTGGACAACAATTAAGGTACATTAATCTAGTATGTTTTGTGCAATATAGTTTTGACTATGATAATTAAATTGTTGAATGACTTTATGTGACTTTTAGTTCACGTTATGTCTGATTACATTGTATTGGTTAGGTGAATAACTTATATTCTTGAATGGTTGAAGACTTATTTCCTAGTTGCCCGATATTAGTTAGTTAAATGACTTGTATTATTGGAAACTGGTTGGAGGAGTATACGGTTGTAATGAAAATATGACTTAAGACTTTAAACTTGTATATGATATATAGTTATTTGTTATCATGCACTGGATCTGTTTGGAGTATACTAGTCATTTGTTGTTATATTCAAATTATAAAGATGTTTTTTAATTTTGGTTTTTTAGTGTCTAAGACAACCCAACGACAATGATTGTGGGTATTACGTATGTCAATATATGAAGTAAATTATCACATACTGTGAAGGAGGAACAATTCTAACTTATGTAAGGTATCTTTATTATCATAATTAATTTGTAGTAAAATTTAATTAACTAATATTATATTATTTTTATTGTAGTATTTTTTTGGTTGCAGATGTAAACAATATCGTGAAAGTCAAATCATTGAAGTTAGGGAAAATTGGTGTTTACGTGTAATTAGTACACGCTAATAAGTTATGTTATGGTGATGTACATGCTTATAAGTACTAATAGGATATATATGTTATGGTTGTATATATTATCTTATAAAATAATGTTATGACACGTACTAGACGACTTAATGATTAAATTTTGAAATATTATTGTAGCAATAGTTTTTATTCATATTAATGAACATTCTCTTTAAGACCTTTGTGATATTTTTCTCAATATTTTATATTTTTTTGTATATAATATAATCCATAGATAGTGTGAGTTTGTACATAATAGAACCAATATTCTATATTTTCTTTTAAAAAATTATTTTATATTTTATTCTAATTTTTTTTTATAAATTTGGACTAATAGATAACGCTTATTTAAACAAATTTTATCTATTGTCAGTCACTAATAGATAGCGCTTATATAAAAAAACGCTATCTATTGTCAGCCACCAATAATAGATAACACTTTTTTAAATAAGCGCTATCTATTGCTGGCTGATAATAGATAGCGCTATCTATTAATAGATAGTCCATGTATAGATAACACTTAAAAAACGTATGCACTTTTTTGTAGTAGTGATTTTAGGTTAAATTTAAAATTTTCTAGGTTATTTAATTATTTATAAAATTATAGAATTTCAATTTGTTCAAATAACATATATTGTTATAAAATACTTCAAATTTTTTATAGAAATGAATGTATCTTAAAATTTCCTATGGAAACACACTATAAAGGATTAGACCCTAAGGTCATTTTGCCAAGGAGCTTCCGAAGGGCTTGTGAGGAGGGTAAGAGCTCCAAGGAGCTTCCGAAGGGCTTGTGAGGAGGGTAAGAGCTCTGAAGTGAGAGCCTCATATAGAGCCTCTTCCAGCAATTCCTTCTTCTAAAGCAAACCTGACATTTCCTTCTTCATTGACTTACACGTTTTTTAGCTTACTTAGGTTTTGCCCAATTCAAAAAAGAATTTACTTGGATTCATAGTTGTTAAGTAAACATTTTCATTTGAGAGGGTTTGTTGGTGCTTCTTTTACTTAAAGGGGTGGTTCAATATAAAATAATAGATAGATTTGTTAGATAAAGATATAACTAAGCTAAACTTCAGGTTACAAGTTGTGTTTATAGGATCAAGTTATACTTGTTCACATCTAAAGAGTAGTCAGTCATAAAACTATCACTCCATTAGTGCTAGTAAGGTGGATGGAGCACACACTTGGATGGTTTTGAGGAATCGAATGAGTTTAAAAGCACTTGATTTTCTTTACTCCATTTGGACGATTCACTTGACTAGAGCAGGAGTAATTTACTTTCTTTGCCCAGTCATATATTGAAGTGTAGTTGTAATACAGTTTAATTTAATTAGGAGTTGGAAAATGGTGGGTTTAAGGGGTTGGTGTTAAACGCTATTTGTCTTTGCTTCATGGTTGTTGCTTGTATAAGTTAGCCATGTTGTAGTTCTATGATCAAACTAATATTCGTCCGTGTTTCAGTTACAGAGGCGCAGTTGTACATTTCTGTTCAAATTCGGATTCAGAATACCCAATTTCGACACAAAGCCATACTCCATCTTTAACGCAGCAAATATTATTTGGTTATGTACTCCAGTAATTTTATGAATAAAATGTATAATGTTTTCATCCATAAAATTTTGTTTTGTAAAATTATTCTCATTGTAACTATATTAGTTAATGATAAGCGACTTTAACCGAATGGGGAGCGTGTTTTTCATCCCTCTCCCAATTTCCTTGTCTTTTGGAACTAAATAAACCATATAAAACAGTAGGTTTTCTACTGGTTTGCATTCAATGTCTAAGTTGTAGATAAAATTCTTTGGAAGAACTTCTAAAAAAAAAGAAATAATTTATTTCATAGTTAATGTTGGTTTATGTAAGTATTGATTTGTAATTTTTTTCATAGTTTATTATTATTTTTAATATAAATAATCTAATTTTAATCTATGAAGGTATGTTTTTTAAAAAGTTTTTATTAAAAAAAAACATCCATGGAATATTAAATCAACTCCATCTACGTCACTGAAATTCTTTGTATTGAGCAAAAGTTCTTTAGACAGCCTCTTTTAGGTCATAAATGTTTTTAATACAAGCAAACTACAAAACAAAGGCTAAATCAATGGCTTATTTATTGAATTTTATTCAATTTGATGCATTTACTATTACAAGTTTAATTTAATATCTCTTTTTTAAATTCTAGTATTTCTGAAAGAATATCAATGACAGAAAATTGTACAAAATCATCTAATAAAAAGAATATATGTTTCATCCTTTGTAGCTAACCTAATACATAATTAATCACTTAACGAAAATAGTAAACAATAAATATCAAAATTAAAAATAAAAATTTATAAAGGAGTAAACAAAAAAAATGGAGTATCTTAAATAAGATATAATTTTACGATAAACTACAAAAATTATCTAAGACTAGCATTAAGTTATTTTGTTGAAGTTGATTTTTAAATGTTGGAATGAAATTAAAAAAAAAATACTTAGAATAAATGAATCAAAGTTGAAAGCATTGATTAATAGGAGCACCCAACAGAATCAATAGAGACGTGGTGGCAGAAAATCTAAAATGAAGTTTAGTACAGGATTTAGAGCAGTATTCCATGATTGGTTACTGCAGTTAACTTGGGTTGAAAGTATGAGACCACACTGTCTGAGTGACCACAATCTCTCTTTCTGTCGCTTTTCAGCTTATAAATCATTGGGTGACTGCGGCAAAAATATCTAGTCCCCTCTCCAATCCCAATGCTCACTGCTCCCACCGCCTTTCCACCATTTATAAACCACTCACCCTTCTTACTCTTTCTATTTTCACTTCAACCATTTTCCCACCACAAACTATGAACCCAAGACAACAAAGTCATCCTCAACTTGTACCAGAGGCACCAATTGGCTTCTCCACCACTCTCTTGCGTTCTCCTGAAGCATTCCCATCATGCTCTTTTCCTCGTTACACTTCAGCTTCTCTTCCACCACCTGACATTGCTCTTTCTGCCTCTCTCCCTTCCTCTTCCTCTCAACCACAGTCTTCCACTCCTTCTTCTTCTTCCAAGTTCCCTTCATCAACAGCAGAGTTTGAGAAGGTAATTACTTTGCCGCATCCCCTTGAATGCTTACAAGGGAATCCGGTTCCGGCATTCTTATCCAAGACTTTCGACCTCGTTGACGATCCATCGTTGGATCCGATCATATCATGGTCCTCCGCTGGTGTTAGTTTCGTGGTGTGGGATCCTACCCTGTTTGCAATACATGTCTTGCCAAGGAATTTCAAGCATAACAATTTCTCCAGTTTTGTTCGCCAGTTAAATACTTATGTGGGTACCCTATGTATTTTATGTTTGTACTGTAACCGGTTTGATTTAGATCAACCATGTCATATGTATTTGGTTTTGGGACATTGTTTTGTCAACTGGGAGTTGATTTTTTCGAAGTTTTGTATCCGAAGTTTCTCTACATGTTTTATGTATTATGTATCTAACTTTGGAATGATTGGACGTGTTTCTGCAGGTGGAGTGAGTAATTTGTTATTTGTGTTTTCTTATTTGCCACTTAATAAAAGTGAACCTCCATGTTATGAACTTTTCTATGTTAATTCCTATTACTACTGGTGGAGCTGTGTGATAATAATAATAATATGGTTCAGATGTTAAAAATAGAACTGGCAGCAGAAGGAATGTTGCTATAGTAGGGATTTCATCCTCAGCAGGTAGTGTTCCACGCTTCCTTTTCTGTGCTGCCAGCCACAACTTGCTTTATCAGCGTGATATTACCTTGTGTTTGTGTAAAGCTTGTTTTGAATTTTCACAGATTGCAAATTCCAACACAGCTTCATTTGCTCCTAATGTCTTAAACTCCGGTGTGTCTAAACCAAAATTTATTTTCCTTGGTTTGCTCCATTCGTTCTCAAGTCACTTGACATTTGTATCCAGGGATTCCGCAAGATTGACTCTGATAAGTGGGAGTTTTTTAATGAAGCTTTTCAGCGAGGGAAGAGATATCTTCTGAAGAGCATCCAAAGGCGCAGGCATCCTCATCCCCATCAAGTTGGTAGGCATATCGTGCATTGGTCTGATGCAGGTAAGGCTGGGCTTGAATTTGATATAGAAAGACTAGGGAAGGAGAGGAGTGTGTTAATGCAAGAGGTATTTGAGTTGAGGCAACAGCAGAGAACAACACTTCACCGTGCTAGACAAGTGAATCAGAGGCTCCAATCTGCAGAGGTGATACACAAACAGATGCTTTCTTTCCTGGCAAGGTTACTTGAAAACCCTGCGTTGTTAACATGCCTTCAGCATGAGAAAGAACAAAGAGATGTAGAATCTCCTAAAGTGAGAAGGAGGTTTGTCAAGCAGCACCAAGAACGAACAGGAATATCAGATTTTTTGAAGGAAGGACAGATTGTAAGTTACCAACCTGATCGGAGAAATGTAACCATCTCTTCCAAAATACCAGAAATGTGTCCAACTTCCCTTGGAGGGTGTTCAAATTATCTTTCACATGATTTGGCAAAAGAATTGAGTGAAGGTGCTGAGAATCTGGTGTCAGATGGATTGGCCCCCTTGCACGAGGTTATGCCAACTTCTGACACCATTGGGTTAAAGTCATCAAGCTTTGGACTTGAAGATACCCTTTTGAAAGGGAAAACTGTCATGAGCTCAAATCAAGAAGATCTTCTTGCAGAGGAGATTGTTTCTTTCCCAGAGGATTTGACTAATGAGGCTGGATTTCCAGAGTTTTCACCTTTAGTTGAAACAGAAAGCATTATCAAGCCAGAAGATAAATGGAACACCAGCTTTCATTTCAGTGGCGCTCCCCCAGCTACCAACCATGAAGGACAAGAATTTAGATTCATTAGTGGTATGTCAGACATCTGGGATACTTGTTCACTGTGGGCAACACAGAGTTTCCGAACTGATGATCCAGCACTGGATGAATGAGAAAGTCTTGCTGATCAGTGATCATTCAGAAAACATAATAGAAATAAGAATGTGGGTCCATTGCACTTGATTTGTTTCTGCACATATTGTGCTATGTTCAATTCCCGGAAGTCCAATTATTGTATAATTTGATTTGTATGTGGTGTTCATTCACCAATCAACTGTCTCCAAATTTCACAAAGTAAGTTAGACATGATATGTTAGCATAAACACTTCACGTTGATGAGATAGTGTATGACAAATTGACAGTGAACATCGGGCATATGGGGTAAATAGTAACATATATTTTACTTAAAAAAATGTAGTTTTATTAATTTTGTTTAAACTTGATAAGTTAACTAGATGAATTGTCACATATGTTTATTGTAAAGAAAAATTAGATCTTAATTAAAAAAAGTATTTTATCTTTTTTTTTTACGTTATAAATTTAAAGTTCTTATTAGTTATTTATATATTAATATTAATTTTTTTAATAATTACTAAATCATATCAAATTTGTACAGGTCTAATAATAATGAAAAAGTCCTCTAGCATATGACATGATTTTTGAAAAGATAAATATTTCTAAAAATGAAATATATGGATAAAACTAACATGAGTACATAACGGAGTTGTGGCATATAATTCAAAACTCTAAATGCACTTAAATTAGGACTCTTTGAGGACCTGTAAGTGTATTTAATTATGTTTTTCATCTGATAAAATTTGAATGAGTTTATCTCGATCAGGAAAATAAAAGAGTGAAGCAATTATTCATCTTGCCTTTACTTCAATGAATAAGGGTATGGAAAAAAAAACAAAGGACATTACAATTGCCTCTGAAAGTAAACAGCAAGAGAAATCAAATAAATATGCACAAGCATCGAAAGTAATAATTGTTTCTTTTGTGAAACTTTAGGTGTACGAGTTTTATGATCTTATAACTAAGTTGAATTTTGTATTATAAAATGTTTGGTTTTTTTAGGATGTCAATTTTACAAAAGGAGATATAATTTAAGGGATTGTTTTTGAGGAAGAATATGTAGATATTCCCGTAGGTGTTTTTGGTATTGTCCAATATCTTTTTTTTGACATTGTTCAAGACACAAACAAAAAATGTAAAACCTTTTGTGTAAAAAATTGTGTAAAATCTGTCTTACTTGTTAAAGAAAAACTTTAGATACACAGTACATTATATAACATATAGACATAAACTCTATGGTTGCGGATCCGTTTACTAAAATATTCATCTAAAAGGTTTCATGAAGAAATTGTTATATCTATTTAAGTGATATTCATTATGATTATGATAATGTTCTTTTGTATTATTGGTGGGTTTAATTACACTAAATAAATAAAGCATAAACCATTTCAATCTTATGTTAATTTGATGATTAGATTGAATTGACAAAAGTTACATTTTGTAAAATATATAATTACAAATCTATTGTATGAAACCAATAATTATTTTGAGATGAAACGTCTTGGTAAAACATATTTTATATTGGTTACTAAGGTTGTTTTATATTGCTTTACAAGATTATATAGAAAATTTTCTAAAAATATATGACATGCAATATTTCAAACTACATGGTATCCTTGTGATTAAAGAAAACAAGTTCAGACTTTAGGGCCCTAATATTTCCATTAAAGAAAATAAAATGTAGAAAAACCCTTATGTACTATTAGCATAATGGTGTTTAATGTATGTTAGGTTTTTATGCATTTAGATGTTGTGTACATTATAGGAATGTTATCTTGGGTAATTTTTGAGTAATCTAAGAGTGAGTCATTGAAAAAATAATCAAAAGTGAAATGTGGTAGTTATAGAAAATAAAATCATTTGCTCACGTAGAAGGGGTTAAATAAACTTGAGATTATTTTGTCAACTGATTCTGATTTTGTTAGAGATAGTGTAAAATAAACTATTTATTTTTTTAGAAATGTTATTTTGGGAAAATTGCTAAACAACCCTTTATAGCCTTTTTAACCATAGAATTTCAGTTCATAACATGCTATGAGATATATAATCTTAGAATTTTGTTATGTAATATGGTATAGAAGGACGGTATAAATGCTTTTGTGATAACAAATTGGCAAATACCATGATTAAACTTAATTTATGAAAGATATATGGGATAAAATATATAATTATAAAATTACAAGTACTAGTCTAAATTGGAGATGCTTAGATTTAAATTCAATATTAATCTTATATGAATAATTATACATTAAAGATATCATCAACACCTAATTAAATTAAATTACATATGATTAAATAGTATTAAAGTAAAGGTTACAAGACATTTAATGTGTGATAATTATAAAGTAATTTGGTAACGGATAAATAAAAATACCAAATTACCAAATGACAATCTCAGGTTAGCACTAAAATCTTTTCTTACTCTAATATATCATGGTGAGATTATTACAAAAATTTGGAATACTTATTTGTCTGAATGGTGTATTTTAATTATATAAATTTAATTTATTACATTATTATTTAACAATATAATAATGAGAATAAAATTTAAAATAATAAATTTTCACATTACAAAGACTAACAGAACTTAAAAGGATAAAATCAATATTTTCTCAAAATTATTTGTATATTTATTTATACAAATATTAAATTAAATATTTACTAATTTTATGTTTGTTTTAAATTAATAACATTAAATAACATTCAAGTAGTTAAAATTTAATTTAGGAGGGTATACATATGTATTTTAAATTTATTTTTGGCGTTACTTTTTAACTAAATAATTACTCTATTTAATAAAGTAAGTAATTGAAAATTTTATATTTACTAGAAAAAAAACTATATAACTTCCTTATTTACAAAACAATTACACATATACTATTTTAATATTATATTAACTATATCATTATATAAAAGAATATACTTTTTGATAATTACTTACTAGACAAATTTTACTCTTTTAAAAATAAGAATATTATATTTTATTAAATAATAGATATTTTTAAGCTCTATTATTTTAATATATATAATATAATTTTTATAAAATTATATTTTTTAGAATTATATTATATTATTTTAATGTAATACAAATGTGAATATATTTTTTATCTATAATTTTGATGTTATTAACAATTTTTTTATAAAATTATATATTTTAAAGTTATATTATTTGAATATAAAAAAAATAAAAATACACATACATGAGAGTACATATACTTTTTCTACTATATATATAATATGTTTATCCATCAAATAAAATGAAAAAAAGAAAAAATAATATTTTTAATTTAGCTACATTTAATTTTATCTTTCAAATTTAGAATTAAGTTTCGGTTCTATAATTTATCATTAATAAAATTATTTTAATTCGTTTGTCCAATGTCTTTGGTCTAAATTATGTTATTGGAGAAATGAATTTATTTGTTCTCATACCACTTTTAATAATAATAATAATAATAATAATAATTACTAAATAAAACATTATAATTTTGACGGTTTAAAGCAATGAATATCATATGTTTTGTATTCTGATTTCTATAATTTTTTGTTTTGATTTTGATAGCGATCTGACATCTCATCTCCTACATATTTAATAAAATAATTACAAAATATGAACTAAATAAAACTAAATCTTATATCAGAAAAAAAAATAATGAAACAATGAAAATATATATTTTTTAACACATTTACCTTTATATTTCTTATTGGGTAACAATCTTTTAACTAACTTAAATTCTATTTTATTTTAAACAGTAACCAAACACTTGTAAACAAATCAATAAAATCATGAAAACATAAAAAATATTAACAGTATTTTATAGAAAAAAAAAAATGAAATGTTTCAACCAAGATCACAGTTGAACGTGAAAATAGCTCCTTCAAACACTGTGACTTTCATTGGTAACGCATACAATTGCAATCCCCAATGTGCAGCTTGCTTATATAAACTCACTACCTCTCTTCTTATCTTCATTTGTATCTCTCTTTTCGTTAATTTTTTATTAATTCATGTAAATTAGGATTAGGGTTTATATCAATTTGCACTGTACAATTTTAAATTAGAACTTTGTTCTCATGCATTCCTCTTTTCTTCAAATAAATCCGGTCCTAGAACCAATTACGGGATGCTATTTCCTGCTCCAAATCCAGTTCTTTCAAGAAGTGAGAGTTCATTAGGGTTTTGTTTCTGATTCGAATGAACATGGAGAGTACGCGCAGATCGTTGGATAGATCTAGAGAACTGGGTTCCAAGAAGCCTCGATTGATCGACGAACTCAGCGCTAGACAGTTACCTCAAAGACAGCAAGGGTCCGGGACAGTTACTTCCTTGGTGTCTGCAAGGGCTCGAGTAAATGACAGGGACACCGAAAGCAGCGAATCAAGTCGCGGCGGTGGGTACCAGCCTCAGCCACAGCCTCACCATGAGCTTGTGACTCAGTATAAGACTGCGCTTGCTGAACTTACTTTCAATTCCAAGCCCATAATTACAAACTTGACTATTATTGCTGGGGAGAATCAGTCTGCTGCCAAGGCAATTGCCGCCACTGTCTGTGCTAACATTCTAGAGGTGAACAAAATGTGCTGTCCGTGTATATTGAATTGTACTGTAATGGATTTTTGGAATAAAGTTCCACATGAATTCTATGATTTGTGATATTTGGTGTTTGTTATTGTTTTTTAATGCATGGGAAGATGAATTAGATTGTTATTGAACATCGAAATGTTAAAGGAAAAAGGACATTCATCCTTTGTTGAATATCACCTTATTTCATTGGCCCTGTGAGAGTAGATTGGGTTTTAAGTGGTGCTCTATGTCCTGCACCTTAAAAATATGTGAAACATATTTAGTTTTCCAATTAGCATTATGAAGAGAAGTTGTCCTTTTGCAAAATGAAGGTAGCTTAGTTTGCTTAATTTTAATTCATGTTTGATTGGTAATCTCCGCAATTTGCTTGGTTTTTTCTTCATTTTGTATGCAAAAGGGATTAACAATCTTGGTAAACATTGATTTTGCCTGTGACAACTAGGGAATCATTAAACAGTTTTCATTCTTAAACACCAGAAGGTATAGCTTTATCACCTGTATTACTTCTGGTAGATTTGAGCAGAATTGCCTCTCATAGGTGATACCGTTGGTCTTAAACCAAAACCAGTTACTAATCTCAATCAGTACTAAAATTTAATTATGAAATTCAATGCCAACTTCTGATTGGATTACATTGCTTTTAGCTGTTTTCCCTGTTTGCATCTGTCATGGCAATCTTATTCTTGTCAATGTGTTTTTTAATTTTAAAAAAATGTATAGTGTAATTGAAACAAGTTAATGACTTTCCAGGTTCCAAGTGATCAAAAACTGCCGTCTCTTTATCTCTTAGACAGTATTGTTAAGAACATCGGGCGAGATTATATAAAGTATTTTGCTGTCAGATTACCTGAGGTTAGATACTTACTATCCTTAACCATTATCTTCATGCCTTTATTTTGATACACTTTTTATTATATATGATGAATCCTTTAGACACAGTTTTGAAATTTTATACTGAAGTATTCTGACACTAGATTAGGTGACTCGTGAGATTGTTAAGGTAGTTGCACGACTTTTGAGATTGTATAAATAATCTAATTATAATGAAACAGAAACAATTTTTCTCTTTGCATTTTTACTGTTATTTATGTTTTCTAATTCTATACACCTATTTTTAACTAGGTACTACTACTTTACATTTTAGGTATTCTGCAAGGCTTACAGACAGGTTGATCCTATTGTCCATTCAAGTATGAAACATCTTTTTGGAACTTGGAAAGGAGTCTTTCCTCCTCAGTGCCTTCAGATGATTGAGAAAGAACTTGGCTTTACACCTGCAGTCAATGGTTCAGCTTCAGTATCTGCTACAGTCAGGAGTGATTTGCAGTCACAACGCCCACCTCATAGTATCCATGTGAATCCAAAGTATTTAGAAAGGCAGCGTCTCCAGCAGTCAAGTACGGTATGTGAACCATTGCACAAAAAAACTTGTTCTTTAAAGGTCTGGATAGATGCATTTTGAAATTGGATACTGTTACAAATTTTTGTGTGATGAATTCAAATTTGAAGTCATGTGTTCCTTGGATGTTGAAAAGAATGGAAGACATGTAATTGGCATCAAATTTTGATACACTACAGTATTCTTGCAATAAGTGTATTTCAATTGGAATTTTTCTATTAAACTACTTTGAATTAATCTTGATCATAAATTCCCATGATTTTGTGGTTCTAATTATGATTTGGCAGGTGATATATATGTGCTGACCTTGCTAGGCTTTAGTTAAAAGTAATATTTTGAATGCCATCTCCCTATTATTCTCATATACATATTTTAGATTTCTGTTTTCACTTTATTACCGTATCTTAAAGTCTTATTCACAATACCAGTCTTTTTCATTCACTATCTCTTGTACTTATTTTGCGGTGTCCTTTTTTAATGTCATGAAGAGTAAAGGAGTTGTTGATGACATGACCGGAGCTTTATTAAAGTCAAATGAGGATTCAGAGAGGCCAAATAGAGCTTTGGGTGCTTCTCGACCATGGCTGGATCCTAGGATTAACATGCTTGTATGGGAATTAGCTGTTTTCTTTTCCTCTTTATGCTATTATCACTCTCAGCTGTTGTATCTTAATGTAGTGATGTCTATTGCAGAATAATCAGCACACACAGAGAGATGCATTTAATGATTCTGTTTCTGAGAAGAGCATTGATGGATCATTTGGAGGCAGTCAATATGGTTCTGGCATTTCTAGTAATTTGGTCTCAGGTGCTGGAAGAACTGGAACTAAGCTCATTGATTTAGGGCAAGAAAAAACATGGTCCAAAACAGATGGTGGTGATGCAGAGACCATATCTGGGCAAAAAAATGGTTTCAGTCTCAAGCGTAGTCTTTCAAATCGTGAAGCACCAAAGTCCATAAATTTGAAAGCACATCGTCAGCCAGGCCTAAATTTAACTCAGATATGGAACAATATGATGTCAGATAACTGGAAAAATTCTGAAGAGGAGGAGTTCACGTGGGATGAGATGAACTCTGGTTTGACTGATCATGGACCTAATGTGTCTAGCAATTTGAGCACAGATTCATGGATGACAGATGATGAAAATTTGGTAAGCTTGCTAAAAGGGTCAGTTGCACTGCCATTGGTTTGCGATTTTTCTCCTAATTTATAAAATGAAATACATTCCTTTGTTATGTAACATGATTCTATTTGAAACTATCCTCCAAATTTATAAAACTCTTGCTAATTTTAAAAACCCTTGTCCTACTAGTACATTTTTCACAAAGCAATCAAGGCTGGTTAATGTGGCTAATTTTGACCGGAAAACTTCACTTACTATGTGAGTTTTTCTTTTTCAGCAGAAACTAGAACATCATTTAGTGTTGCTCTTCCCCTTAAAAAGTTCTTCTTGTCTAAGCTTCAAATTACGAGACAATCCCTATCTGAAATATAGGAGACATTGCAGAAAATCATATTAAAGGAAGAGTCCAATTTCTTGATAGTCAGAGCAATTGAACTAATAGCGTGGTAACATGCAATTACCCCAAATATTTTAAATTGTGTATAACAGGAATAGTTGTTTTGTAATCAGTCTAAGGCCAAAAGCACGGATTCCCTTGGATAACTTCTAACAAACACTGATATATCAAAGTCAAGCAATCCAAAGTCTTAAAGAGCCTAATACAAACTAAGAATAAAACTGTAATTTAATTTGGTATAAGATATCCTGGTTCTCTTATTTCAAATCCTGGTAGTTAAACCACTTAATCCCTAAATTCAAAGCCATAAATTAGAGTTGCAAATCATAAATTAGTACAATGATCTGAAACTTCATATATTTCATTGGATATACATGACTGGTTTATTTTTTCAATGTGCAGGAAGGTGAAGATCACCTGCATATTCTACACCCTTACGGGGAAAAGGTTGATAGGGAAATATCCACTGTTAAGAAACAACTGCCTGGTTTTGGTGGCCATCCACCTTCATCATGGCAATTGCAGAAGCATCACACAATTGATAAGTTGACTCTGAAGCCAGGTTACTCAGAAGGATTTGTGTCCACTATTAGTGGCTTACCAGCCAACGCAAGTTCTTTACCTGTCAAGAAGGGGAACCAATCTCTTACGTCAAAGGCAATAGTAGGAATGTCCAAAATTGTAGAGCAACAATTTGATTCTGGGGAGACCGAATCCCCTTCTGGGCAGTCACCTTCACAACGACAGTCTCCATCACTACCAGGAACAGTATACCACCCTCATTCAATGCAAAATTTGCCTGAGCAAGAAATGCCCCAGGATCACAAAACATCTCAATTTTTGGGAGGTCCAACTGGTCAGCACATTAGAGATCGCTCACCTACCCTTCATCCCGTCGTTCAGGTTGGTAACATGCGAAGAACACAGGAAAAGGACATGCAGGGCACGTTTCAACCAAAGCTTCAGTCACTGCAGCCCGACTCTGCTCAGGCTGAAGTTTTTGCTAAAACTAAGCTGCCCCAGTCTAAAGTTTCTTTAACCAAAGGAGTTTCAGAACAGTCGACCAAAAATAATTTGTCAGCTGCAGCTGTGAAGAGTGGAATCATTCCCAAGAAATCAATTACCAGTAATCTGGATCCAAGGAAGCATCTATCCAAGTCTGGGGTTCAGCTTCCTCCTTCTGGTAGGTCTTCTCCTGCCACATTAACTTCTTCAGGGTCTGCAGTGGTATCACCAGCTTTATTGGATCCTCTGCACAAAGATTCATCTTCACTGCCCAAAAAACCTCAAGGAAAGATTGGACAACCACCACAAAGGCTTAATACTCAACCACCTGCTTCCTCTAATGTGAATGCTGCAAAAAATAATGTAAACCCTATCGCAAACCTTTTAAGCTCATTGGTTGCAAAGGGTTTGATATCTGCAGAAACTGAATCGCCGACTGTGGTACCAAGCGAGGTGCTGAAGGGATCCAAAGATAAAACTGCAAACATTAGCACCAATAGTTCTTTCCCAGTTACATCAGTTTCTGATTCTGCAGCTGTCCCAGCATCATCTGCCAGAGATGAGGAAGACGCTTCTACAAAATCCTCTCTACCCTCAGCTCAATCAACTAGCACGAAAATCAGAAATCTCATTGGCTTTGATTTTAAACCTAATGTAATTCGAGAATTCCATGAACCGGTAATTAGGGAATTATTGGATGATTTCTCTCATCATTGCAAAATTTGCAGTATTAGGTTTAAACAAGAACAGCAGTATAAGAGACACTTGGAGTGGCATGCCACAAGAGAACATGATCCAATTAAAGTATCCAGAAGTTGGTATGCTAAGTCAAGTGATTGGATTGCTGGCAAGGTAGAATACTCATCTGAGCTTGAGTTTACCGACTCTGTTGTTGTACACGACAAAGAAACAGACAGCAGTCAATTGGATACGATGATTCGAGCAGATGAAAATCAGTGTTTGTGTGTACTGTGTGGCGAGCTATTTGAAGATGTGTACTGTCACGAAAGGAACGAGTGGATGTTCAAAGGGGCAGTTTACATGAACTGCTTGGATTTCAATGACGAGATGGAAAGTAGAAATGTGGGTCCCATCATTCATGCCAAATGCCTATCAGAGAATTCAATTGTCACCAATTTGGTAAGTGACCTGCTATCTGATATTAGATGTCTTTCGTTTTGTTACAATTTTGGAAGTAATTTGATTGGACTATTTTTTTCCAGGGTAATGATTAATGGTTTGTCTCTAGCATTGCGCTATGGTGTAGTCAGAAGCTTACCAAGGGTATCCACCCAGTTTCACATTGCATACTAAATTTTGATGATCCTTTATACTCAAAATTTATTGCCTCCAACTGGTCCTTAGAGCGGTTAAACAAATTTTGTGCTCTTTTTGTTTTATTGTACTTTTACCGGGAAAAAAATTGCGTAGTGTTCAACTATATAAATGAGCGAAACTTAATCGTCGATGCCCAATGTAATCCAAATATACGATAATGTTATCTGCGACAACAAAAAAACCAAGATCCTCGTGATTTTCGGTAGTTAAATTTCCCTCTTTGTGGAAGGATTGGAAGTAACTACACTTAGTTGGATGCTTCCATCCCAGCTAAGTTTGGCGTTAAAACAATTTTCATATCATTTGGGCAATTTTCATCCCAACTAAGTTTCTAGTCACCCCTTTTCTCACTGTATATTTGTTTTAATAATTTCTCCACCTTTGTATAAAAGTCAAATACTTAAGTAGTTGAATGGTTATGTATTTAGTAGTTATTTTCCTCGAAAAAACATTATCTCTTCATGATGCTGTTGCAAGCAAACAGCAACATCGAACCATTGAACACTGTTATCTGATAGTTATTCATTAAACATGTTTCTGCTGTGCAAAACTAATTTTAGATATTGGATATATTTTGGTTTTAAAGTTTACACTGGAATTTTTTCACTTTCTTTCATCCCACCCGTAACCACCTGTTTTTTTTTTCCAATTTGCCCTTCAACAATATTCTTTATTTCTTTTTTATGAAGTTTCTCTCCACCTAAGATCTACCTTCTTTATTTTTAATTAGAATAATTTTTCAAAAATTAAAATTTAATTGAGATAAAAAAAATTAAGGAACTTATTTGAATACTTATCTAAAAAATGAAAAATGATTAAATCAAAAATAATTATTAAATAAACAAATAAATTTAAAATAAGTCAACAATTATTAGTATATTAGATTTTCTTAATCTATTTCTAGTCAATTAATTAATTAACTAAAATTATATAACAACTTGAAAAAACAATAATAAATTATCTTGACAATTCAAGGAGACCATTAGTGTATTATAAAATACTGAGTAATATGAAATTCATTAGACGAAAACTAGAGAGACTACAGCACAATTCCTTCCAAAACATTATTTTTTATTTTACTTTGTTTTATATATAATAACCAGTTCGTGTAAAAATAATTAGTAACCTTCATATAAAAATCAATACAAACTTAATTGAAGATTTTATTAAAATGTTCTAGAAGCAGTGTATTATTTGTTTTTCTATCATTTTTTACTATCACATAGCCTACTTTTTTTTTCTCTCTTATTATTTTTTTCTCTTGTGTGCAAATTCATGGTATAAATACAATTATATATATAATTTGGTATTCTATACTTTAAAAGAAATATTTAAATAATAATTAATGTTAATGATAAAAAAATAATTAATCATTATAATAATTAATTAATAAAATAAAAATTATTAATAATTAAAATAGTTTAAAAAAATTATAATTAATTTTAAAATTAGTAATTAAAATGATTTCTATGAATATTTTTAAATTGATATCTTACATTAAGTTTTAAGTTTTAATTATTAAAATAATTAATTTTTAATTAAAAAATAGTTTTTAACTATATTTTTATTATTATGATTCATCGTTATTTAAAAATTTTACGCATGACCTTGATATTGTAATATGGCGGTGAACTATAAGATAATGTCACCGTATTTAACAATTGAGTGGAGTTCCTACTCAGTTTGCACTCTCCTCTTCTTATTCTTATAATAGAAATGTGATTGTGAACAGAAAAAGTACAAATCCAAATCTATATATTTTAGTAGATGTTATTGGATAAGCACCAAAATTATATATTGTAGTGGTATCTATGTATATTTATTCATTTCAAACTCTTTTCCTTCTCCATTTATCATCTTGGGTGAGAAAAAAAATATTTTTAATTCTTAAATTTTAATATAAAATTTGAATTTAATTTTGTCTCAAATTTTAAACCACTTATTAATTTTATAATTTTTATATAAATAAATATATCTCTCTTAATTCAATAATATTAATTTTTTTAATATATTAAATGATATTTCAGTTTATGTTTAACATTTCTTTATTAATAAGTTATAATTCAAATACCATATCAAATGAGATTGAGTTAATAAATTTAAATTCATTTATTTTTAAAATTTAAAGAACAAGTATATTAAATTTAAAATATTTAAATTTTAATTTCGTATCAAAATTTAAAACTACAAACATATTTTAGCTTAAAAAGAATATAAACAAATTTACAATAAAACTACCTTTCTTTTAGATAAGTAAATGAGATATGAGAATTTTTTTTAAAATTATTGTTTATGGTAATAAAAAATAAGCTTTCTTTGAATTTTTAAAAACTGAAAGAAAAAACATACAAATTCGTCTAAGTAGTTATTTTATAAGAAAAAAATTCACTTTTACAAGAAAAGTTATGACATGGTTTCTAAACTACTAAAAGTAATTGTAAAACTAAAATATTAAAAAAAATCAAACATAATTTTTAAAAGTGATTTATTATTTAAAGTATGTTTGAAATAAAATTAAGATAACAGAAATACTATAAAAATATTAACATAATAATTATTAAATCATTATATTTTGAATATATCAAACACATATTCCTCTACTTTTAAAATTATTGATATTTTATATTTTTATATTTTTTTTAAATCAAAGCTAAAGTTCAGTATATATCAATTATGCATAAACATTAATACTAAAGGAATAACATATAAGTCCTAAAATCAGAAATGAGTTAGTGACGTAGACAAAGTGGAGATTGCTCTAATGTAAAATAATATTCCTTCATCTCCTTGTTTTCTTTGTTAAAACCAATCACAATACCATTTTTAGATAAAAAACCTTCTAATAAATAGATTTCCTAATTGGTTGAAAGAAACTTGAATCATCATTATTATTTTATTTATGCATCTCATTTGGTGTTTTAACTTTATAACTTTTATCAAAGTTTTGATTTGTGAGATTGAAGTCAAGTCTTTTTATACAAATTATCTTCTGAATCTAAGCTTAGGTCAGTATAATTCTTAACTTTTCTTGTATAGTTCGATACAATCGGATATCACTGTGAAAGATGATCTGATGCTCAAATCATTATTTGTATGAACAATTTAATAATAAGTGCATAATAAAAGTAACCAAATACTTAAATATTAAACTTATATTTATAGATTTTCGTAATGAGCTTCTTATTAGAACTGATTTAATTGTGACTTATACATTAGTAACTTGATTTATGATTAACCTAATTATTCTCAGTAACTAATTTTGTTATTAATAGATTTACCTATGGTTTCGTTGCTGAATGGTCTATCAGGATCAATCATACACTACATAAATGATAATTTTTAAAAAGTTATTCCTAAGTAAGCTTCATTTGTAAAATGACATGATGAGTGATCATGCTATAAAAGTTAACAAATGGAACTACTCGATATCCGATTTTCTTCCACTAGGATAAGGAAGAATCCAAAATAAGTATTCCTCCTTCAAAGGATTACTACGAATATCATAAGTAGTCTTGCACCATATTGTCCACAAGGTGGGTTCACACAAATCCCATCCTACTTCATATAATAGTTCAAATATTCCTCCATAAAAAAGTTTTGATCCAAGTAGTGGTGTATATTTGTCCTTCTTGGTTTCATGCATAAAAGAAAGCAGTGAGATTCTGCAAGAGGATCCAACCATATATTTTGGAAAGCAATTTTCAACTGACCCTTTGTATGCTGCATTAGTTTTGTATTTATCTTGGTCTGTTACATCTCTGTGCTACAAATGCATTTTAGGTTGTTTTAAGCAAGGTATTCTAGTATCTGGTTTGGTTGTTTTTTCTATTACAGATCAGATATTGTTTATTTTTTATTTATGTGGGCTGATTTAAGGAAACCTGCAGAAAACAGATAGATTCTGACTTATGAATTCAACTTTCTAGAAATTAAGCTTGGACTTTATCGTGAATCAGAACGAATGATTTTGACCGGCAGAGGGAGAATTTAAGTGATCACATTCACGACTCTCACCCCAGTAATTGCTCCAATTTAATACTGCAAACAAGTAGTCAACAAATTTACTAAAATTTTGTAAGATCTAGAACAAAATTTTGAATTGAGAGTAATGGAGATGTTTTCACACTAAGTATTATATTCTGGATCTGACTGTGAATGCACACATTGTGATTATCAAAAAGCCCAACACCTATCGGAAATGTTAAGATATAAATTTTTATTTAATATTCATTTTTAAAAGTGAAGATATTGAATTCTAAAATTATAAAAATTATATAAATAAAGTTTTATTTTTAAATAAGTAGAAGCGTTGAGGTCATTTTACTTATTATATAATTGATATAATTTATTCATATCAATAAAAAATATTATATCCTTAAATTAAAACAATAATAACAGTGCAAAATTTGTAGCTAGTTTTAATTTATTTCATGTTTTTATACACTTCAAATTTTAATGTTATTTAAAACAAAATTTATCTTTATTTAATTTTATAACCAATATTTTGTTATATTTAGCATAAATTTTTATGTTTGTTTTACTATGATTTATAAAAAAAATTACTGATAAAATTTACTAACAAAATTTGAAAAATTCAATTATTAAATTATTTATCAATAAATTTTAAAAATATATTATGTACAATTTTATTAACAATTTTGACCACAAGAAAACTAAAATTTTTGTGCTCAATTTATCGACTAAATTTATTGGAAACATATTTATTAATGATAAAAAAAATTTAGTTATCAATAAATTTTATCATAATATAGATAAAGTTAAAGTGAAAATTTTGACTTCATTTTATTGAGAGTATTTGCCAATAAAAATATCCGTTACTGCTAAAATTTATAAATTACCAATCAACTTTACCAATAAATTTATAATTAAGAAATATTTTTATCAATAATTAAAATCCTAAAAATATGATCTATAAGAATCATGAATGTCAATTTTTATACATGAAAAAGACCTATTAAAAAATAATACATAATCAAATTATGTTATATATATAATTGACTTTTGTTACTATTATATAAAAATATAATCAATTAAGTATTGTATAGAGGATATACTTTACTTTCTTTTAATTTCAATTTATATTATTTAGTCCAAACAACTTTGTTTT